AGGGCGCTGACCTCTCTAAGAATCTGCTCCCGGGGCTGAACCTCAAAATACCCTCCGTTCCACCCAGGGGGTGCTCTAGGGGACAGAGATGTGGCTGGGATTTCACGGGCACATGAGTGATGGAGATACACTGCCTGCCCACCTACTCACATATTCTCCATTTGACTGTCCTTTATGAGTGTCCAGTGATGAGATTTTTTAAAGTATATGCAGGGCAGATGTTAAGCAGTTAAGACCCTTCTTGGGACTTCTGCCTCCCATAAGAGTACCTGGGCTCAAATTATAGTTTAACTTCCAATTCCAGCTTCCTGGCAGTGCATACTGTGGGAGGTAACAGACATCTCCAGTACTTGGGGTTCCTGATGGGAAAAGTGGATTGAGTTCTGGGCTCCTGGCTTTGGCCTGGCACAGTCCTGGATGTTGCAGGCATTTGGGGAGTGAGTCAAAGCCTTGCAAATAAATGAAAATAAATGAGTAGATAATTTACTTGGAGTTGGATGAAGTACAGGGCTAGACAGCTTTCTCCTGCAGCTCAGGCTGCGAGTACTCCAGAGGGCTGTGTCTTGCCAGGAGTCACTGCCCTGTGGCCCGAAACACAGCCATCCCTTTTCGAACTGTAGATGTCGTCTCACCCTGGGTGGGTCCTGGGAATCCTGCTGTTTTTCCAGCCCTGTGTTTCTGGCAGGTGAGGCTACCCGTGTTGCCTGTTGTGAAGGATCCAACATTCAGCCTGGGTGTTCCAGGCATTGGCATCCTCCCCCTCCACTGCCCCCAAGCTCTATTTCCTTTCCTAAGAGCTGTTCATGGAGGGCCCCTACTTCTGGAAGCCTCAGCCATCGCACACACCAGGGCCATTGAGCATTTCTGAGTTGGGGTCACCTGACTGATTTAGTGGCCTATCAAGTACATTTGGATTGTTTATTGGAAATGCCCGTTATTTATGGTATTCTGTGGCCATAAAAGTCCAGGCCTATGCTGCCTTTTGGAATAAAACTAATAAAGAATGGCCCTGCTCATGATTTAGTGACAGACAGCGTAAAGGAAGGGAGCACTCCCTGCCAGTTGGAGCTGAGAGCTTTGCAAGAACTTGGAGGCAGCCCCTGCAAGGACTGGGCAATCAGCAGACAGCCTGATCCCAGTGGCTTAGAAGAGGGAATTGAGGACAAGCTGCCCTGTGCCGCCGCCTCATCCCCCAGGACACCTCTACGGGGTAGGCTTTCCCAGTGTTCAGACCCCCAAACTTGATTACTTATTTGTCAGATGAAATCAGTTTTAATTTTGTAAGCCCCTGAATATGTAATAGGAAAGGGTGCTGTTAAGTCATTACTGAATTGGATGCCTCTGCATAACTGGACAGAAGCTCAAAGTCCTGGTTTTTGTTTGTTTTGTTTTGCTTTAGATGAACTGATTGAGAAGTTTTACTTTCTTCTTTCCCCTCCCTGCTTGCTCTCCCTGCTTGCCTCCTCTTCCCTTCCCTTCCTCCCTCCCTCTTTCCCCGTGTTCTCCTTCCTCTTCTCTTGCTCCTCCTTCTTCTCCGTGTCTGTTTCTCTCTTTCTCCTCGGTCTCTTTCACTGACAACCCAGCTAGGACAGGGACGTCTGGGCAGTTTCCTCCTGCCTCTGCGTCCATCTTGAAGAGAGATTCAGGCTGCAGCTCATCCACTAAGAGCAAGTCTGGGCTACTTCCAAGCAGCCTTTACTAAGGATTGTACAGAAGAGTAAAATTGAGCAGACCCCACATCAGCCGACTCCCTCTCTGCCCTGTCACGTTTCTTCTTTGGTCAGGCTGCCTGCTTTCCCTCTCTGCCCTTCCTCACCCATCACACGTTTCTGGGTCCTGCACCTGACTCCTACATCCCCTCCCTGACGTCTCCTTGGCTGCTCTGCTCTTGAATCTTTGCACCTGCTATCCTGCTCAACCTGGAGTCTTTCTTTGGAATGTGATAAGGGACTTTTTAAATTTTTACTCATCCAAATAGCTTTTTTTTTTCTTGCCATCCACTCATTCATGTTATCGGTTCAGTACATGTGCAAAGCAGAGTACATCTGGCTGCAGCTGTGTTCTGCCTGGATGTGTGTCTGTAATTTTGCTCACTCTATGTGGTGAGAGTGGGGCAGGGTATGGTAGGGCCAGGACTGCAGGAGGACTCAGCTATGAGAGCCTACATCTGAAAGTGACCTCTGAAATCAATGGCAGGCATTTCCACATGAACCTCAGAATGCTTTTCTATTGCAAGGAATGCAAGAGCCGGGCTGAAGACGGCATGTGGAGTTGTCAGCTCAGTGAGGCCCTGGCGTGTATTAGCCAGGTGGAGAGGCTCCAGCCTCTTGAGCAGGACAGGAAGGGAAAAGGCCATAAAAGGGTGGGAAATGTCTTGTCTGTGAGCTGTACAAGGACCACGAATTTGTTCTGCATCTGTCAAAGTAACCGCAGGTAGAACTTGAAATTCGATAAATCTATAGCAGGTGCTTTTTTTTTTAAGTTTTCTATGGCCTGCAAAAGATGTTGTTAATCTCCAAATGGCCCTTGGCAGCAGAAGGAATCCTTATCCTTGGCGGGAGGTTAAAGATCTATCTGGTGTTTGCTAACACTTGTAAGCTAAAGAAGAAATCCTGGCACAGGCAGTGTTCATCGTAAGTGGTTAAGTGTACATTATGATCGTCTGGCAAAGTAGCAAGTAGTTATCCGGGTCTTTGGTCTCATGGCCTGGCTCATTCAGGCTCCTTAGGAAGGGGAAAACCACAAACCTCCTCCCGCCAAAGGCTATTACCTTAGGCTTTCCTAGCTTCACCGTACAGAATTACAGTGGTGTCTCCAACTTCTCTAGCAAGCAGTGCTATTTGTTGCAGTAGTGCCCTGGGGTATTTGATCTTTCCCCCCAGAAATTCCTGCCCAAGATTGCAAATCCCAGGGAGCTCACCCCTGCCTAACCACGAGCCTAGATTGGAGTTCTGGTTCCAGCTCCTAATGCAAGCTTCCTACTGATGCAAACCTTGAAAGACAGTAGTGAAGGCTCAAGGGACTAGATCCCTGACACCTGCTCAACACATGCAACTTCCATTCCTGCCGATTGGCTTTGGCTCTGGCCCCTTCTGAGGCCGCTGTGAGCATCTGGACAAGGAACCAGCAGATCGGGACTCTGTTTCTTTCTGCCTCTCAAATAATGTTTTTTAAATAGAAAAATACCTACATGCTTGTTTATCAGATCTATTTTTAAATAGTTAATAGGAGTAAGCATGTGACACAGCAGTTTTGACAGCCCTTGGAGCACTCACATCCCGTATCAGATTGCCTGTGTTTGAGACCCAGCTATACCATTTCATGCTAATTCACTTGCTGGGACTAGTAGGTGGTGGCTCAAGTCCTTGAGTCCTGGCTACCCATGGGGGACACCTGGGTTGTATACCTAGCTCTCAGCCTAGATTATCCCTGGCTGTTGCAGGCATTGAAGTAGTGAACCAGTGAATTGAAGGTGTCTCTGTCATTTTCTCTTTCAAATAAAATAGGAAGAATAAGATTTATTTTTGAAAAGCCTTTTTAATTGGACTGACAACAGTCTTTCCTAAAAATTGCTTTGCCACATTCAAAGAAGTTCAGCAAAGTGACACTGCACACTATACAGCATAGTAATACACTCTAGTTCTTGGTCTCATTGGTTTCTCCTAGGAGCTGACCCCTCAATACTGGATCTTAGAGCTCTTCCAGCTTCATCTGCAGATGCCACAGATATATCAGAGGCTCCCAAGGGTCAGAAGAAGCCAAGATGGTTCATTCTTTCCCCAGAGGATGCTCTTTACTTCTGTAGTTGTACAGTACATGAACGGCAATAGTGGGTACATCAGGAAGATGGCTGCCCGTGGCATTGATGGCTCACACCTGAGCTATTCTCTGGTGCTGACAGTGAATTGAGGGCTCACTTCTCTCCTAGGAGACGGTATGCCAACAGGGGAAGAGGAACCCCTGCAGTGGACAGTGTCCCGAAGGCTGCCCACAGAGACCTTGCTCCATGAAGCTCCTTGCAGGAGGGCTGAAACCCCATTCATGCGATTGTGGTGTCTGGCACACAGCCAAGACTCAGTGAATGAGAACTGAAGGGAGCTGAATATTCCTTACATGCACTATATTAGAGTGAAATAGAAAAGGCGAGAGAGGTAGCAGAGAACATGAGATGCGATTATTAATGTGTCAACATTCTGGCGTTAAAGTGCATTGCAGTAAAAGCTGTTTTAAATAGGCTGACTTGGAGTCTCCCCAGGGGTCCTACAGAGTTGTCTTTGGAGCTGCCCACATGCCTGGAACCTCTGAGTATGCCCATGGGATTTCTTCTCAGTGTCTCTGAGGAAACTTGCAGGGTTGTCAACTGACTCCCCTGCTGGGGCCACAGCACCCCGACATTGTGATCTGTGTGTTTGAGACAATGGGCTCAGGTTGTATTTGGTTCACTAGCTTTATCTGGTGAGCCTCCATGAAGTATGTAAACTTGAGTTGTCTGTATGAGTCTGAGTTGTTGCTGTCTGCCCTGAGGATGGCAGGATGGATGCTTTCTTGATAAAAATGAGAAAACGAATAAGACGAGCAGTAACATAGCAGCTTCTCAACTCTAGTAGCTAATGAGCCTTTTAAGCCCTTCATTCAAGTCAAATCCTATGAAGGTGGAAGTTAATACAGAGAAGCAAGATTTCCTCTTGATAAAATTAGATAAACAAGAGTTCCTTGAGAAAACAATCAGGGCATTGGCAGGAAGCTCTGCCTGTCCAGGCCCCTCTTGGAGGTGCAAAGAGGAAGGAAATGGACAGAGAAGGTGATGATCCCACTGCGCACGTTTATCATCGAGCCTCTTGTCACCTGAAAAGCCACAACCTCCAGGATGAGCCCTGCTTCTAAGACGCCAGACAGATGGGTCTCTCAACGTCCGGGCTGCTGGCTTGTGTCAAAGCCAAACCCCCCGAAGGGGTAAAGAATCTCCCCTCAGTCTCACATGAGTCTCTGTTTTCTTGCAGAGGTTCCAAAAACAGAACAGACCTTTGAAGAGCGTTTGATCCTCAAGGCCTTCTTGCTGAAGTTTGTCAACGCTTACTCCCCCATCTTCTATGTGGCCTTTTTCAAGGGGAGGTGAGTAAATGACGCCACTCCGGCGAGGTCCTATGCTGTCAGGACATTTCTAGCTGGCTGCTCTTAAAACAGTGTTGTGTTAGCATCTCTGACCCTGATAATCAAGGCAAGTCCACAGAGATTGGCTTGCTTCTGCATCCTACAAGGAGGGGCTTGGAAGGATGTGTGTCTCGTGTCCTTCGGGGTGACACAGGTGGAGATTTCATGCCTAGCCAGAGGCTCTTAGGTCTTACATTGCAATGCCAATGCCAACTTCCTGGGGTAATACAGACTTTCCAGTTTGGGGTACAATCCTTATAAGAACTGCATTCACTTCAGACATGAGCCACATGCTCTCGGATTTCCAGAAAACTCTCTATTCTGATGTCCAGGATATAAATTCCAGAGATCCTGCCATTCCTTCAAGTTCAGTAACTCACTACAAATATTTGGGAATGTGCTTTCCTTAGAATTTTATTATAGAAAAGAGATACAAATTCAGATCAGTAAGGGGGGCATACACATAGGTGAGATGTGGAGGGTCTTAACCAAAAAGTATCTGTGTCCTTAGGATCTGTTCCTTTTCCAATACACAAAGGTGTGTCACCAGTCACCCTAGCTTCAGTGTGGGGGTTTCACTGGGATCTCATTAAGGCAAAACTGATTGCATTATGTGCCCTGTAATTGCACTCAGTCTCTCTGGAGAACAAGGAACAGAGAGTCCTCTGCTGAATTTTCTTCTCCAATAAAATACAGGGGGCATGAAACAGATTCTGTCTAGCCCTTTGATGATTTTTCAGTAAGAAGCCAAGAGATTTTCTTCTCTGATCCCAGGAATTTTGTTTGCTCGCTGACTCAGTCTCATTCTTAATTTTCAGAAACCTGAATCCCCAACTAATAAGCTGCAGTCGGAACTCCATTTTTGGCTCTAGTTGAAGGAACATGGTACACAAATGATAGCCTTAGAGATAAGCCCAACTTCTCCATGTGGGCTCAGAAGTTACTGCAACACATACACACACACATCAGCCACACCAAGCCTCAACCGTGCCCTGCTCAACCCTTGTCTCCTGGCATTTGCCAAGAAGTGAAGTCCAGGTGTCAGAAGTGTTTGCTTACCAACAACAAGGAAGGAACTTGTGTCCCTAAGTTATTTAATGCCTCCCTGGCCTGTGTTTTCAAGGAGGCCCTTGGATAGTGTGTGTTCCACACAGTGAGTGTGTCCTAAAGCAGGCTGGGTCTATTCTGTCTTTCCCTCACTCTTCCCCCACTTTTGATTTCAGGTTTGTGGGCAGGCCTGGAAGCTACGTCTATGTGTTCGATGGTTACCGCATGGAAGAGGCAAGTACATTCAAGGGTGCTTCCTGCCCCGGTCCCTGCCCCATCACAGCTTGGCTTAATGTATGCCTTTGCTTCTCTGAGCTCCACTGGCCTGACCTCTCTCCATTCCCCACTGTCTGCAGTGTGCCCCGGGAGGCTGCCTCATGGAGCTCTGCATTCAACTCAGCATCATCATGTTGGGGAAGCAGCTGATCCAGAACAACATCTTTGAGATTGGAGTCCCGTATGTAATGGCTTCTTGCCACCTGTTCTGGTTACCAGGGCAGACTTCACTGGGATTTCATGGCCTCTTCCCTTCTCACAGTCCTTGGTTTCCCGCTGGAAAATTTGCTGATCTGGTGTGTGATGGGTGGGGCTCAGAAAGAGTTACTGCTCATTGACTACACATAACTAGGATGCTGAGGAGCTCATGATCAGTTGCCTTAGACCTTACAAAAGTATAATATTATTGATGGCATTTGTTCTCCCAGTGAGTATGCTTGAGATATGTAGCAGGGTGAGTTTATGGGTATGAAAGCTTGAAATGTACTGAAATCATTTACTAAATCTCCAAGCAGGAACTGTGTAGTGTGGGGCCTTAGGAAGTGGAGGGGGAAGCGTTGGTGAAACACACAGGTGGACTGTTGTTAGGTCTGGATTTTCTCTCCCTTCCCCGGGTGTTTTATGAAAGTGTGTCAGAAGGGTTTCTTTTAAGAGAATTTGCACTGAACTAATCATGAAAATCAACACAGACCACAGGTGATGCAGATAAAAAAGAAGATGAGATGAGCCTAACTCACATTCCGAATTTTTTGGAAAGACTTATTTATTTCAAAGTTAGCCAGAGGGCCTGGTGCAGTAGCCTAGTGGCTAAAGTCCTTGCCAGAATTATGTGCCAGAATTCCATATGGATGTGGGTTCAAGTCCAGCTGCTCTACTTCCCATCCAGCTCCTTGTTTGTCTGGAAAATCAGTAGAAGATGGGATGTGCATGTTGAAAAATCTGTGGACATCTGCCCCACCACTTAGCCCATTGTCTTTTGGTCCAGAGACTCTTTCATAATAATAAGAGCAGAAAGATGTCTGGTCATTCTGTTGGCATGTTTGTCCACACACCAACTCCATCAGGTGCAGGACAGCTGGAAAGAACAGCCGTGATTGCCTGCCTTGAGCACCCAGTTACCTTGTTGATGTCTGCAGTGTGCTTAACAGTCGGTGTGTTTGAACATGTACCACGGCGGAATTGATGCCGATTGCTCAGCAACTCCTGAAGACATGGGCAGCACACTCTGCCGGCTTCGCTGTTCTCGTCTCTTGACTGCAAGATGTTTATTCAGCCCTGAAGCCTTGCAGATCAAGCTTTGCATCCACCTCTTCTCTGTCGAGTGAAGCTGGTCTCTGATGATTCCAAATAGGGGTCACATCTCCTTCAGAAAATGCTTCCATCTTCTTTTCAGTTCTTGGCTGAAGACAGACAGACACAACCCAACAGGGAGTTAAACTCAGGGATGTCAAGTCAGCTTTCTTGCACAGTGTCATCACGCTCTTCCGGCTCCCAAATTCCTTACTGTATTTTGAATTTGAACACATGAACTCATTTTATGATTATTGCTTCAATAATCACTGTGATGATCATGTTTGGCTCCCTCCTTAAGACCCACTCTTAATAAATTGGACCTTTGCCTTCCGGAATTTAAGCTCTGGTCAATATACGCATGTGTAACGCAAGTGAGAAACATGAAACAGGCAGAAGAGAGAGGAGAGAAGTCTTTTCCACTCAAAAGAGAAATGAGAGCTGGCAATCATATAAATGTTGGAAAGTGGAGCCTGATCCTCCATGTGTCTCTTTAGGGCGGGGATTTGGTAGGACAACACTGTCGTGGTCTTGCAGATTACGATTGAAGTGCAGGTTCTACAGCTTTGGAAAGTTCTTTAGGAAGATTTCCCTCCGCCTTGGCTGAGGGCAGGAGGAAATCTTGGATAAATGCCCAGCTTTCTAGAAAGTAGAAAATATGAACATGTGAGAAAGGAAGGAACGTTCTTGGGGGTTTCAATTAGCGAAGATTTGGGTACGTGCCTCTGTCTTTGATGTGTATGAATGCTGCTTCGTCAGCGTGTCATGTCCACGGAATGAGGCGGAAGAGACAAGTTCATGGCTTTTGGCTCGCCGTTTGGCTACTGTGTTCTTTTAGAACTTACACCAAATACTTTCTCAGTAAATATGAATTCTAGAGGACAGAACCATTTTTTTTTCATTTGTGCATATATTTCTTCTAAACCAAACACACTGTGATATTTATTTATTTGAGATTAAGAGAGACACAGAGAAAGAAAAAGCAGTTTGTCAACATCCATTAGTTTACTCACCCCGTGTATTGTACAGGACTGGGCTGAGTTAAAGCCAGGAGCCAAGAACTCAGTCCAGGTCTCTCCTGTGGGTGGTAAGAACCCAATTACTTACTGCCTTCCAAGGTGTGCCTTAGTAGGAATATAGAGCCAAAGACCAGAGCATCAAGACTTGACCCCAAGCACTCTGTTGTGGCTTGCAGGTGACATAATTACATCTTCACCTCTGGGCCTATTTTTCCTACGTATATTTTACTCAAATTCTTAGCTTTTCTGAGGGTAGACACAAACACTCTCAGTTGCTAGGAATAGCAAGTAACAATGAAAAGAAACACAAGATCCCTAACAATGACTGCTAGTATTTCCTACCTAAGGCACTTAGCCTAAGACCTGCCTTCTCTCTGTTGACAGGAAAGAAGTGCCTGCATGGAGAAGCTGTTAAATACATACCAATAGCAGACTGGCATTCTCCTTCTGCACTGTAGTCAGGGGACCGAACAGGAGCAGCCACTGAAATAATGTCCTCCAGTGCTCTAATGTGATATAGAAAGACTTTCCAACTGCATCTCGTCAGTTTCTCTGCTACGCCTGGCAGGTGCCCACCTGCGGCCAGTGTGAAAGCCTTACTCTGTCCAGACACCTTCCACCGGGGAGCAGCAATTCCCCGCCTACCCCTGCCAGGCCTACTTTAGAGACTCTGGAGATGGAAAAACGAAATAGTTCAAAGGCAAGCAGTAAAATAAGGAGTATTATGTGCTTTGAAGCCAGCTCTGTAACTAATGCCACAATATGAGAAATGCAGTTCAGTTGCATGGTCTGGCCTCAGACTGCCCCCACTCACGTGCCCCAGGCTCCTGGGGTCCGGCACACTTCTGCCAGCTGCTTTCCCAGGAGGAGCCACATGGTTTTCAACACAACAAACTCCACAGTACTGCTCACAGGCAGCTCTTTCTGCAATGGCTTTCTACACAGCAGGCAGAATGGCAGAATCAGGTCTTGTGCTCTGCATCATCTGAGTCCGTGGATGGCTCTTTTCTTTCCTCTCTCCCTCTCTAAACACCCTCCTTTTCCATCTTTGTGCAAAGTTGACTTTTGGATCCAAACTGCATAGTGTCCCTAAAACACACTGCACCATGTCACCACTCTTTGCTAAACTTAGACCCCAGATTTAGCTCCAATATATGTTGAAACAAACTTTGAAATGGGCCTTATTATTCAGAGTGAAGGTGTGTGTGTGTGTGTGTGTGTGTGTGTGTGTGTGTGTGTGTGTGTGAGTGAGAGAGAGAGAGAGAGAGGGAGAGAGGTGGGAAAGATCAGGTTTGTTATTGGGCATGTCTTGAGATGGACAGAGCAGACAGAAATCAATTCTTCTCCTGGCAAAGTGTCCCTCCATCCTTATTTTTGCTTAACGTACCAGATCCCATCCCAAAATAACTGTGATACACTCCAGGATATACAGCCAGTAAGATGTCATAAACTTTCTGCTGTCTTTTTGTGAATGTGATAAATATTAAATTTCAAGACATGAAGCAGTCTCCCTGTGGAGCCGTCAAAGACGGTCTGCTCTCCTCAGATACAGTGGAATCTGGCCATGGATCTGAAGTTTAAGAACAAATTCGAACCTTGTCAGGTATCAGGGAAGAAAGGGATATATGGCTCAGAGGTTGACGTGTTGTTCCTTTTTGGCCCCACGTAGGGTTTTGGCTTCTTAAAAGCAGAACCAAGCGGATTGGAAACTTCCAGGAACCAAATTTCCGCCTGGGAAGGTCTGAGGTGTGATGGACAGTCACCATGATTTTGGTATGAGCCCAAAGGATATAGTAGAGCAAACGCTCAGAACCTTCCAGAGAGAGTTTCAGAGACATGTCATTAAAAAGGGACAAAGAAAGTATATGGAAATGACAAAGGGGTAACATTGAAGGAGTTATTTTAACGAGCAAGTGCATCATACAGTCGGAATCAGAATCTTAAGTTTCCAAGCTGTCCATCTGTGAGTGATATGGCTTGCAGGATTCCTGTTAAATCCTGTGTGGGGTGGGAGGACTTCCTTTATTAAAATTTTTAATGGTCACTGAGATAACCAGAATGGAAACTTCTAGGAATAATGGGTTCCTAGGAACTCTTTTTAGATGTTCTATCCCCCTCATCTTTTTGGAGCGACCCACGCTGTTGATCCTAATGTGCTTCTCTGGATTTCTTGGCTCCATGACCTCATGGTTGGCCTTTTATCCCTGTGGCAGCTCATTGATTGTCCACTGACGGCTCCTTCTGCTCCTGCATTCCCATCCCCAGGCTGTTAAGATGACTCAGGGATCTTTCTTTCTGTGTCTTTTAAAACTTACTGATTAATTGATTTGGGGGAAGTGTGATAGAAGGATGGAGAGAGAGACGAAAAGAGTGAGAAGGGACTCCTGAAATGGTCACACTGGCTGACCACTTCAGGTCAGGACCAGGACCAAGCCAGGAGCCTACACTTTGTCATTTGCTGCTGCTTTCCAGGGCACATTAGTAGGGGGCTCAATTGAAATCACAGCAGCTGGAATTCAACCTGGCCTTTCAATGTGGGCTGCTGATGATGCAAGTGGAAGCTTAACTCACTGCACCGGCCACCCCCAGGGCTCATTCTTGGCCATTTACTCTATCTGTAGACCGTATCCACTGCCAGGGCTTTAGCTGCTATCTCCATAAGGATGCTTAGGCCTCCAGGGATCTCCAGCCCAGATCTAATTTCAGCACTCCAGAGTTCCTTCATTTGCTCATTGGATTCCTAGATACCTACGTACAGTAGCATACTTTGTTGTCTCATTGGATTTCTCCACCTCTTCATGCACTAAATGGATCCTCTTCCTTTTTCTCCTTGTCAAAACTGCCTCCTTTGTAGTATTCGATACCTTAGAAAACTGTGCCATGACAGACACATGCGTCCGAAGCCTGGGGAAACAGCCTTGATTCCTTTTTCTCCTTTCCCTTCCCTGTGTGACCTGCTACCATTTTCTTAATTCCATCTCCTAAGCATATCTTAACTTTGGCTTCTCTTCATGTCCATTGCAGCACCCTAGACTGTGTCAGCATCATCTGCCCCCTAATTCACCACATGGAGTGGCTGTATCAATGCCATGAGCTTATGCTGTATTTCAAGTCTTATCTTAATTATTTTAGCTCTTGCGCTCCATGGTCTAGGCATTTTGTCATCTGCCCTTCCTTCTGATGAGCCATTCTCACACTTCCCTTTGTGTGTTATAGCATTACCCATTTCACTGCTCTCCATCTTTCCCGCTCTTTTTTCTGTCCTCTTTCATTGTTAAATTTACACTCTTACTTCAGAGCAGGTTCAGAGTCTCTGGTTTATATTATCAAAATCACTGCTCTGTGCAGTTTTGTGTCACTGAGAAAGTTGAAAAGGCTGCACCCTCTGATATATTTTAGCATTCAATATTAAAAATGGTAATTGTTACGGGAGCAACAAGGTGGCTTTAACAGGCTAATCCTCCACCTGCAAGTGCCAGCATCCCATATGGATGCTGGCTGATTCATTTCCAATCCAATTCCATGCTTATGGCCTGAGAAGGTAGCTCAAAATGACCCAAGTCCTCAGGCCCTTGCATCCATGTAGGAAACCTAGGAAAAACACTTGGCTGCTGGCTTCAGACTGGCTCATCTATGGCTCATCTATTGCACACATGGCATTAATAAAGCCACACCATGTAGTAAATTAGGGGACAGATGATGCTGACACAGTCTAGGATGCTGCAATGGACATGAAGAGAAGCCAAAGTTAAGATATGCTTAGGAGATAGAATTAAGAAAATGGTAGCAGGTCATGGCATATTTAAAAAGTGAATCAGGGAGTGGAAGATCCTCTCTCTGTCTTTCCTTTCTGTAAATCTGGCTTTCACATAAATTAAGTATTTAAAATCTAGTAGTAATAATAATTATCTGTTCAATATGTACCATGTTCTGGTTTTGTGCTAGGGACTGTGTGATAACTATTCAAGTGATCCTCATGTCAGCTCTCGGAAGTAGGGCCATTATTATTCCGTATCCCCTAAAATCCTACACAGATCATCTGTTCAGGCTACCTTAGTAAAAAATCAGAGATTGAGCAGTTTAACCAACAGAAATTTGTTTTCTGGAGACAGGGAAGGCCAGGATCAAGGCCTAATGGGGTTCATTTTCTTATGAGGGCCTGCTTTCTGGATTACATGCACACACATGGTCATCTTGTCCCTGTGCCTTCATATGGGAGGGATGAAAAGGAACATGCAAGTGGAAATCTCATACTCTTCTAAGGCCACCAGTGGTAGTCCATGTAGACGCCACCTTTATGACATCATCTTGTAAAATCCTTATTTCCAAAAGCAATCACATGGGAATTGTAGTTGGAGCGCCACAATTAAGTCCATGATGATGGATAATGTTTATTTTGGCCTTAATGATGTTGTTGATTCTACTGAAAATGAAACAGTGTTTGGGAGGGAGTGTGTTTCTGGACACTTCTGTCTCTACCATGAAGCAGGTGGACAGTTTGCTCAGCAAGGGACTGGCTGCATTTCAGTATTAGACAAGATAGGCCAACTCTCTTGTTGCTTATCAAACAGTGGAAAGGAAGCATAAGAAGTTTCTTTGGGTTTGAAGAAAGCTGGTTCACTGTGGAAGGAGTCTTCCATGGTGTTGATAAAGGATTTCCTTTAAGTGTCTTTGGGGAAAAGTGATTTTTTATAAGTGTCTGTCTTTAGATCTAAGAGAGGCCCTTGGTGTCAAAACTTAATTATTTGTACTTTTTTTGTCTTCAGAACTAATTGTGTTCTTCAGGAGCTTGTAGTAACTGGTCTTTTTCCTCTTGTCCAGAAAACTAAAGAAACTATTTCGGAAACTGAAAGATGAGACTGAACCTGGAGAAACTGACTCTGCCCATTCAAAACATCCAGAACAGTGGGACCTGGACTACAGCCTGGAACCCTACACGGGGCTGACCCCGGAATACATGGAGATGAGTAAGAGCCCCTAAGCCTTGCTTCCACTGGGGATGGGTTCAGGTGGGTCTGTGGGGCTGGGGTGGAAGCTGGAGAAAATGGTTGAGGCAACATCTGCTCCATCAAGAACTTACGGTGACTCAGTATATCCATGGAGCAACCTACACCTGAGGTGGGTGTGGCATCAGTGCCCTGAAAGAAAGCTTGCAGTGGTTGATGATCGCCACGATTCCCTTTTCTCCTTGGGCCACTCATTCTTACCTGTCTCTCATGACCCTTTCCATGGCTTCTATCACCAATGAAATCAAGTGAACGCTAATGGAATCTGAAAGTGCAGGACAATCTAGACATGTGTTCCACTCTGATTGTGGAAGGTTGGGTAAGAAGCTAGTTTGGCAGCATAAATACTGAGGATGTTTTGTGTGGGAAGTGAGGAGCAGGTGACTAGTCACCAGGCTGTGGTTGTTTTTCGATAAAAATGGAAGGTATGAGTGCATGTTCATAAAAGCTGAGAGAATGTAACCACTTCAGATGTGGCTTCAAAACCAGGAATTCTTCATTAGGAAAGGGGGCCTGATTTGGACACACTGCCTTCAAAATCTTGGGCTATGGAGTATAATCTTGATCCTTTTGTGGGGTGGGTGTTGAAGAAACCTCTTTCTAAGACTTGGGATTCTTGAGTTGATAGCATAATATACCAACAGTCATGAGCTCAGCTAGGACATCTAAATGCTTACTCAGTCTAGAGATTGTGGAGAAATATCTATCAAATCCAACAATAGAATCACCCAATACCGAATTCAGAGCTAAATATAATTTTATTTGCAGAATCACTTCTGCCCTCTTTGGTTAATCACTTCTAATGGGGAGCCGCCAATACCTCTCTATGTGCCAGGTGCTGGACTCATTATTTCTAGTGCATATGTGTCCTATTCTGTTATACGAATATGTGTAAGTATATATAATAGCAGTGGAGTGCTTGGTGACCGTGAAAGATCTATTCTTGCCCTGAGTTGTCTACAATTCTAAGAAAAGCCCGAGGTTTGTCACCTAAATCAATTCATCAGCGAAGAAAAGTCATTATGTTTGCTTCAGGAAAAACAGGCAAAGAAAATAGCAAGATGTAGTTGATAATGACACGTTGCTGCCTTACGCCTTTTACATTCAGCTAAGTGCTTCTCTAATCCCTTTCCGATGTTGATCCAGTCATTTATACAGAGGTCACTGGCCATATTTCAGACACCCTTCTCCATCTGCTGTCTTCTCACTCATAAATAAAGAACACACAGCTCGAGGTTGAGACTTCCATTGGGGGAGAGAGTTCCAGCAGGCACGTTGGAGCTCTGTCTCCACCTTCATCCTGCAGCCCCAGTTTCTAACCCGTAACCCCATTATCTGGGTGAGTTTTTCTGTGCCTGCTTGTGTGTCCAGCCAGCTATTGGAAAGCTTCTTTGCTAAGAGATTCCTGAGCAATGTTCCCTGGTTCAAGTTGGAGCTCTGTGACTGACCTCAGGTAAGAGGTCAATGTTGATGTATCTTGATCGCCTCATCTGTATGTAACAATAGTATCTACTCTAATTGCTGAGTTTAATCAATCCATACAGGTAGAATGCTTAGAGCAGTACCTGACACATACACAACTATTGAGGGTCGAGTAGTGCTTCTCTTAGTGTCTTGAGGTCCTAGGAAGAGGGAGAATAAGGGAACTGTTGTCTGGTTATGTGTTGTGACATTGGCTATATATCCACTATGTGTTCAAACTTGGATAGTTATGAGAGATAAGAGAGAAAACTGTTAATATTATTAATGACTGGGAGACTTGGTGGCTTTGAAAAAATTCATACCAAGATTATAAGAAGTGAAATTCACAGCATTGTTTGGGTGCCATTTTTAGGCCGTTTTGTTAAATAAGCTTATGATTATACTTACAATTTTTCCTGTTTCACTTAGCATTATCTGAATAAATATTTTCAAGCTATCACATAATGTACTAAAAGAACAGCTACACAACAGCCCCTATAATGAATGTCACTAGTTTATTTACCTACCTTCCAAGAATTATAATTTTCACCCTATTTTCATGCTCTAATGCACATGCACTAGCTTGTATATAATCTTTTCCTTGTTAATATTGCCTCATCAAGATACAGTTCCCATAGGTTCTGTTTAGTTCGGTTCTAACTTAAGGTCATCGTGTCATTCTTGGTTTCATTTTACCAGGTTGCTTTCTGAAAAGAACAGACTTATTTCTCTAGTATAAGAATCTCTTTCCAACAAATGCAAAATCATTCAGTCTCCTAAAGTCATAGACTAGGAAGGAGTATTATCTGCGAATACCAAGCTTGGGGCTCCCAGTCTCCTCGCTCAGCACGTCCCATTCTACCTCACTGATTTGCCTATTCCAGGTTCATTCCTAGCTAACACAGTGCTTCCCCTGTGGGGTCTTCTGGCCAAGCCCTCCTTGCCTCTAAGAATTGTTGTTTGCCTCTCTGTCCTACCATCGTGTTTGGTGGATTACATCTTTCTGAATTATGGTTACATTGAATCTCACCTATCTATTCTTTAGCAGATGGACTCCATTAAACTCTAAAGAGCAGTGACCTCCGATTTCAGCCCTTACCATTTAACCTTCAATTTATCACAAATACGTCTTCACTTGTCTCCCAGTTTCCTTTCCTACTTCTTCTGCCTTTCTTTTGACTTTTCAGAATGTCCTTTCTAGAATGCAAACCAGAGCCTATTCCTTTTGCTGCTTTCAAATAATTTAATGCTGCTGACTTTTAAGAGAAAGTTCACACCTCCCAGTGAAGCCCACAAGGACACTTATGAGCTGACTCTAATTTTGTAATCCCTTCAAAGGCCCATTTATGCCCCAGGGTATTTCAAACAGCCAATAGGAAAGGGAATTAAAAGACAAGTATGTTTAGTGTGAAAACCTTTTAAAATCCATGCATATTTTTTTTTTCTCATAAAATGCATCTTTAGGGACTTACAATCTCATCTATGCACAGATTTCAAATTTTTTTGGCAACAAAATAAGTTTGTCTTTTAATGCCACTTAAATATCATTTACCCTTGTGTGCCTGGCTATCTTGCACTGCTACGGCAAAGTTGGATGGTACTGTCTTTTCTGCCTGCTGAGGAGTACTTTATGACTTCCCTGTTCTCAGGTCCTCTCACCTTCTCTCCTCTGTCTGCATCCTTTCTAACATGTGAGGACTCTGGAGGCAGGGCCCACTGGGTCTTATTCCAGTTTACTCACGACACTCAGCATGGTTCTTGAACAGCGTCAAGAGCCCAACATAAGACCTCTCGAGTGAGAGATCTTTTCTTTAGCTTCCCTTCCTTAGTGACAGAGCACTAGTGATTTTATTTCTTTCTACCCCATGCAAAACGGCCTCCCTCTTCACCATGGACATGTTTATTTCTGTGTAGGCAGCAATTTTCATCTTGCAAAGTCCACTTGGAAGGTTGTTTATGACCAAGGATTCCCTCAAAGAGAAGCCACTGCTGGTTCTAATTTACTGCCTTCAGGGATCAAGTCATCAGTGGACGTGGCAGTGGCATATTCTCTCTCAGAGACATGGCTTTAACTTCAACTCCAGTTGCACACCTTTGCCTTGGCTGTCCCCCATCCTAAGCACTGCAGTAGAGGTGCCAGGCCCTGGAGACTCAGAAAAAAAAACCATGGGAAACCCAGGGCTCATCAGTTGTGTCTGGGTCTGCTGATGAAGACGGATGGGCTGATAGTGACAAGGAGCCTCACTTTTTGCAGGAAAAGTCCATCTCATCACACTTGCTTATATGAGTCTCAGACTTTGCAGCTCAGAGATGTATTTGAGGAAACTATTCTTCTCCCCTTCCTCTCCACCTGTTGTGGCTTGCTCACCCTGCAGATGGAGGCTTCAGAAACCACCCACAGGGACGAAACAAACTCTAGAGTGGTTTACCTCCCAGTTATCAGCTCAGACGTGTTCTGAGCTTCAGACAAGGCAGAGAAGGGCCAGGGAGAGAATCGAATCCATCCATTCAGAGGAAACATTTCCAAGTCGATCTGCCTGGGTCAGTTTTTTTTTTTTTTTCAAAAGTTGCTTTGACTTCTTTCTGTATCCTATGGTGTGTGAATGACTTTGCCATCCTGCAAACCCTGGACGGAGAACTCTCACCTTCCCTGCTCCTTTCCTCTGCTCTCCCCTTCTGCCTCCCATCCCACGCACTTGCAGTGTCTGTGGTCTTCCAGCTCTTCCCAATCCTCTACCTCAGTCTCTCCCACCTGGTGCTTTTTCTGTTCCATCCTCAACCTGGCCACTTGGAGCCACCAGCATCTCTCCTCACCTTGTGCATTCCCTTTGAAGTGTGAAGTTGATCCATTGCTTAAAAGCCTTTAGGGTTTCCCTCCTCACTGAGACCCTCGTGTCCCATTTAAATTTATTGAGCTGTGCGTCCTTTCACACACTCGGTGGTCCAGCCACAGTGAATCCTGTGGACCGTGTTCTACCCACACTGCATATCTCACATGTTTCATGCCTTACTTTCTGTTCCTCTTGCTCTGGAATTCCCTGCATCTTCTCTTGCACAGTTCCAAAGCTGGCTCTTGTGCCAGCTGCTCTGTAAAAGGTTCCCTCCTACCTCTGCCCCTTAGTCCTGTGCCCTAGGAGATATAGGACAAATAGCCTTCTGAAATAGAGGGGCCTGCTAAAACTTCATTTCCTGAGGGTAGTTTCCTCAAATTGCAATGCTTAGCTACTTACAAGGATGGACACCAAAAACACATTAGGTCAACAGGTAAAGGATGATTGAATATAAGAAATTACGAGTGTTTCTGTCTTCACCTTTTCTTTATCTAGGCTGAAACAGGCTCATGTAGCTCAGCTGTGGCCAGTTCTCATGGACTGCTGATGTAGCGACCGTATCATCAGGAGTGCTGCTGATCCTCCTTCCTCTTTCCCAGCCTTCTCTTCTCCTCCTTCTAGTTTCCATGACTCACTCCCCTCCTCTCTCCAGATCAGGCATGCTCTCCC